CCATCCACGTGGGCGGAAAACCCGTGAACGGCCATTCACGGATATTGGCCCCGGTGACCGGCCGGTCACGTTCAGGTGACCGGTGCCGGTCACGTTCACGGGTCCGGCACTGGACGGTGGAAATTACGTTGCCATCACTAATCCTGTTGGGAATAGGATCCGTCTGGTATGCGCTCCCTCTTTACACACATTCAATTTGTTGAGAAAAGAAAATATTGAGTATGATTTTATTTGTTCAAAGGGCACAAAGTTCTCCGGACTCTACTCTCTGCACTCGCTTGTGTCCTGAATACATTGACGTGCAATTGTCAGCTGAAAAAGTCTCCACCATTCCAGGCATTCCTTTGAATCAACAGAATGCAGATGGAATGGATGGTGGTGGGGGGGGGGGGGGAAGGGGGGGGAACTTCCTGAGGATGGATTTTTGAGAATATTACCCGGTGTAAACAGCTGTGTGTTGGGAGAGCAGCAAGACTCTGCAAGAGATCATCTTCATCCCCAGAGGATTGTGGTCCCAGTCAAATCAGACAGCTGCCAGTGGTTTGTCAATTGACTCGCTTCCTCCATGGACCAAAATACGTATGGTTGCACGACTGTTTTTTGTTTGGTCATCACCTACATGGATAATTGTTGGCAACAACTCAAAAGAGTTCTTGGTGAAATTAGGTGTCAGCCAAGGCAAATAAAATGCCTACCGTCTTCACCCGAATAGAACACCCGGGTATTAACCGTATTATCGCTGTACGTAGACTGAAAGTTGGACCAATTATGGGTATAACGACCGCGCATTCTATTCGGGTGAAGACAGTAGCTGAATTATGTTGAATTATGCCGAGCAACATTAGATGAACCGTGACTTGATGAAAAGTCTGTTGTCAAATTAAAAGAAAATCGAAGTCGAAGATATTTCTTTACTTGCTGGCAGTTGGTGCAGAAAAAAAAAACCTGTCATTTCATTGCACATTTTCACTACTCAAACTTCATAAGCATTTTCTCTCTCTCTCTCTCTCTCTCTCTCCGCGAGCAACATTAGATGAACCGTGACTTGATGAAAAGTCTGTTGTCAAATTAAAAGAAAATCAAAGTCAAAGATCTTTCTTTAATTGCTGGCAGTTGGTGCAGAAAAAAAAAAACTGTCATTTCATTGCACATTTTTAACTCCATAAGCATTTTCTCTCTCTCTCTCTCTCTCTCTCTCTCTCTCTCTCTCTCTCTCTCTCTCTCTCTCTCTCTCTCTCTCTCTCTCTGTGTGTGGGCCTCCACCTCTATATCTTCTTCTTCTTCTTCCTCCTCCTCTTCCTCATTTCTGTTTTGTCTTCCTCAGGCATTGAATGTATAATCTCACAAGTACCAATGCTTTTCAATCGGGAGTCCTCTTTGAAATTCTTAGTTGTCATTCATGAGAAAAACTCATGTCGCTGCAGTTTACTTGTTGTGGTCGAGTCATAACTATAATGCAATTGTACAATCTCAGGCATCTAGAATGGATAGGCCCGAGGAGACTTGGACACTAGTGTACCTGGCATAGTTATTCAGTAGACCATGTCTTTTCCTCCTCCTTCCGACTCAATACCGTCTCCAGTATTCAGATTCAAGACCTTCGCCTATTTAGCCACTTAAAAGAGCCAAAGCCTGTTTTAACAAACATAAACCCTAAACCCTAAACCTAAACCCTCCTCCACCTCCTCCTCCTCTGGCTCTATCAAAGGCCGGCAGCCTGGTACTCATGGTGGGAAAAAAAATGGAAAATCAGTGCTGCTAGATGTTTGTCAATAATTGTGTGAGGGCAGGCGAAGAATGAACTAGGAGCAAATATGTTCAACAGCACCAAACTTTTTGTTTGTAGTTTTTTCTTTCGGCCGTTTGGTTTCGCCAGTTTCGTGTCCACCTTGACGTGTTTTTGCACTGCAGAGAGGCCATTGACATCATGGACGTCTGGCCGTCTAGATCATGACAAGTTAACTGGATGCATGCACATTGCACACGGCCTGCAGTGGAAAAGGCCACCACCCAAGCCATCACCCTCTCTCTCTCATTTCCCAATCCCTTATGCATCACACACCAGCTCCAGCACCCTCCTGCCCACCACTAATTAGGTGGTATACATCTCTCTCTCTCTCTTTTGGAAGGGAAGGGGGGCCAAGGGGCTAGACTTCACAGTGCACACGAGGTTTCCCAATTTCCGAGTCGGCTATGATGGCTCGTGAATGCAGAGCCTCTGTAGGGGGTAAGCATGGGTCCCAATGTCTGCAGAGATTCCAGCATGCAAGCACCAAAAGGGTTAGTGGCTTCTCTTAATGAGACCCCGGGCCCTGGCCATCAGCGGGTGTGAAGACGAATTACAGTACAAGGAGAGAAATACCAAAACAGCCGCTTATGCTTTAAAATTGGGGTAATTGCATGCAGAAATAGAGCGTTTTCAAAGTTTCCCAACGGAAATGTTGTCGGGGTCCGCAAGATGTACTTTTGCAGCGAAAGTGGAACCGCCCGCGCCCGCAAATATTTTTGCTGTGAAACTACCGGGACCTGTGAAGCCGCAAAAAAAGATGCATTTCTGCAACAAAAGTTGGACCCCGCCGCTATTTTTGCTGTCAAACTACTGCGACCGCGCAGTTCGTAGAACTTATGCTTCCAAATGTAATAAAAAATGGGCAGTGCAGCCCAGTGAGAATTCACCAGCAGATCTGCAATTCCAGGTACTGTAACAGATCATATATGCTGGACCAACGTGCTCCTCTAGGCAGCTCACAGTTCGCTTAGAAACGGTAGGTACGCGGCAAGAAGTCAAAGAAAACACTGAGATATGGTGTACGTACGACCTCAGGGGAGAAAATGTGCCACCATCATGCAATCCTCAGAGAATCGGAGAACTGTTGGAGGGGAAAAAAAAGAAAAAACAAACTGTTGAGCCAGTCAGTATCGATATCTTCCTATAAGGAGGACATGATGAGAACAGCTGAGCCAGAGCAAAGCCTGACCCGAAGCACGTGCATACAAAACCGCAGATTACAGCAAGATGCACTAAGAATCTCGAATTATTAAGTTCCCAACAACCAGATATGAACGTCAAAGCACAAACAGTCACCGTCGGCCATAGCCGGCGTGACATCACCTCCCCTCCTTCACACTAAACGTGTAGCTCACGAGACGAAGGAGGACATGATTAGCTGTAACAGTTGATGCTCTTGTTTAGTAGCGGAAAAACTAGCGCCGTCCTTCGGGACATCCGTTAAAAATTGGAACGATACAGAGAAGATTAGCGTGCACGGCCCCTGCGCAAGGATAACACGCATTAAAAAAAAAAAAAGAAAGCACCCCAAATTTTGAAAGAAATCCGCGGAGCCATATCTTACTGTTCCCTCCAGTGGTGTTTTGACGGACTCTTAAATGTAATTTACCAGAAATAGCTGAACCTGCCTTTTTCTTTTTCTTTTTCTTTTTTTTTTAGCTGAACGCTACATGTCGTTCTGTCAGTGACAAGGGATTAGCTTCCCTTAGCCATCCTTATCCCCTCAGCCCGGTAGCCTTTAGCCAACCCCTTTTCAACCTGGTGAAGAGTCACATCAATGGAGCCGCGATTTCCATGAACGCTTTGCCCTTATACCATCATGAGTAATGAAATTATTATTATAATCATATAATGATTGATATTAATTAATGAATGAATGAAGCGAGTAAATATGACATGAAATATGCATTTCTTCAATCTATATTTACACATACAGATATCCCATAACTTCCCGTTCCCTTTTTTTTTGTAAGGAACACCCAGGTTTTAACTTTTAAGGATGGGTTAGTTAAAGACTTGGTATATTTAGTTAGTAATGCGCTCTATGAAACGATCCTTGCCTGCATCTTTACTGCTGCCATCACACTGAACTGCTGTTGCTTTTGGGTTTAGGGGAAAGAATCAGAAGATTCTCTAGAGTTTAGACTGAGGGCCCCTCTTTCAGCAACTGTCGGAACCTGAGAAATGGAGCAGTGTACCTGCACACAAAAGATAGCAAAATACATTCTCACTCTCTAATGGTCGCTATGAATGGTCACATGTGCCATTGTCCAGTGTTGGAACGAGGCACTAAGGACACTGTCATCAACTCACCAGCTTTTGACCAATTGCTGTGGAAGATTGCGCTGCCGCCCACGCGACCTCGTCTCCATGGGACGACTTCTCGTCGAAACTATTCTGCCCCTGATCGTAATCATGCTGATAAAATAAATGATTATAGAACTGAATTCAGAAGAACAGAAATTGTCAACAAATCAATCTGTAGATTCAACATCACTTTTTTTTTTACTTAGTTTTTTTTTTTTTTTTTTTTTGGCTCCTCTTTCCTCCATCCGAGAACAGTAAGGGATGATTTTCCCAGAAAAAAAAAAAAAAAGGTGAGGGCAGAGGAATGAACGCCGGTGCAGAGAGCTCAGAAGACACGACACGACGGATTACGTTCATACCATGGATTAGAATCGGACACAGAGTGAAAAAAAAAAGAGGAGGAAACATAACACAAGGAGGTCACACAGCATTTGAAACGAGGCAGAGAATGTTGGCATGGCCCCTGCACAAAGTGGGCATACACAATTTGTGTGTGTGTGGTGGTGGTGG